TTTGATATGGACATGGATGACATTGTTTCTGCTCTGCATGTGATGTATGCTGATGACTCTAGTGTGCTTCCCGCTTATTACTCACTGTTGCCTAGTGTAGGTGTGCCTAGCTTAGCCTCCCGTGCTGCGTCAGGCATAGGATCCCCTGCTTTGTGTAGTCTTGGTGCTTCCGCCGTCGTTCCGTCGCCAGACCCCTCGGCTTCGCTTTCCTTCACCTTGGACTCTGGCGCCTCTCGGTGTTTCTTCCGCGACTCCACCACCCTGACGTCGCTTCCTGTTCGTGCTGTCGTTTCTCTTGCTGACCCCTCCGGCGGTCCGGTAGTCGCCCGCAGTTCCACCACCCTTCCTTGTCCGGCGGTTCCTTCGGGTTCTCTTACAGGTCTGCATATCCCCTCGTTCTCCAGGAACCTAGCTGGTGTCGGCTGCCTCCAGGACCTTGGCGTCACCACTACGTTCCCTGGTCACGAGCGGTATGCTGTCTGTACCGAGGCCGCCACTGGTGCCCCCCTGTCCACGTTCCCCCGGGACCCGGTGTCCGGCCTGTTCACTCTGGACACCGTGACCCCCCCGGCTGGAGCGCCCCCTCAGGTGGCTGCGTCTACCCAGGTTGCTGCTGCCTGCTCCTGTCGCTCCCTCACTCACCCGACCCTCCTGTGGCACCATCGCCTAGGTCACCCTGCACTCCCGCGTCTGCGTCACATGTCCCAGCACGGTCTCGTCCTTGGTCTCCCAGGTTCGCTCCCCGCGTTTCCCTCTTCTCCAGCCCCACCTTGCACGCCTTGTGTCGAGGGTCGGCTTCGCCGTGCCCCTCACTCCTCCTCGTTTCCCCCTACCGCCGCGCCGTTGCAGACCCTGCACCTGGACGTCTGGGGCCCCGCCCCCGTCCCTGGGCCGCGTCGAGAGCGCTACTTCCTTGTGCTTGTCGACGACTTCACTCGTTACACCACAGTCTTTCCCCTGGAGCGCAAGGCCGATGTGCCTGGCGCTCTCATCCCCTGGCTTGTCTCTGCGCGTGTCCACCGCGGTCTCCCTGTCTTGCGTCTTCACTCAGACCGTGGTGGCGAGTTTGCCTCAGGTGTCCTTGGTCGCTTTTGTCGTGCGGAGGGCATCACCCAGACGTTCACCCTACCGGACTCCCCACAGCAGAATGGGGTCGCTGAGCGACGCATCGGTTTGGTCATGGAGGTGGCTCGCACCTCCATGATCCATGCCGGTGCACCCCATTTTCTGTGGCCGTTCGCTGTGCGCTACGCTTCTCACCAGCTTAACCTGTGGCCGCACCCTCAGCAGCCGCAGGTTTCGCCGACCCGTCTTTGGACTGGGTCCCCTGGTGACGCGTCTGCGTTCCACGTCTGGGGCTGCCTTGCTCACGTCCGTGCTTCCGGCACGGACAAGCTCACTGCCCGCACCCTTCCCTGCGTCTTCCTCGGTTTTCCCCTTGACGCGTCCGACTGGCACTTTTACCACCCGCCGTCTCACCGCTTCTTTCACTCTCGTGACGTCACCTTTGACGAGTCTGTCTCCTACTACCGCCGCTTTCCCCACCGTGGTCCCCCGGTTACCCCCCCCCTATTCCTGGTCACCCCTTCCCCGGTAGTCCCTACCCCTCCTCCTCCTCCTCCCCGTCCCGCCCCCTCTGGTGTGTCCCACGTCACCCCCCTTCCGTCCGTGGACCCGGTTGAGGAGTCATCTGACTCTGGTGGCCCTCCTGTGCAGTCCTCGCCGGCCGCCCCTCCCCAGGTCTCCCCTCCCCAGTCCCCTCCTCCACCGCCACTACCGCTGCTGCAGCCGTCGTCGTCGCCGCCGCCGCCGCCGCCGCCGTCGCAGCCCCCGTTCGCTGACTCTGGGGGTGCTCGTCCCGGTCGCCCTGGGGGTGGTCCCTCTGGGGGTGCTGGTGTGGACAGTGCCGGTGGTCGCCGAGGAGCAGCTTGCGGTCCAGGTGTCGCCGTTGTGCCGCCGCAGCAGCGGTCCCCGCCGGTGTCCGCCCTTCGCCTGCTCGGCCTTCCGTCCCCCGACCCTCCGTCGGTTCCTCCCCGACCGTCTCCTCCTCTTCCTGTCTACGGCCCTGTTTTCCCTCCGCCGGACTCGTCCCCGGCTCGTCTCCCCCCTCGCTCCCCTCCTGTGTCCCCTCCCCTGTCTCCTGACCCGACTCCTCCGTCGCACGTCTGGTCTCACCGCCCCTCCCGTGCTCGTCCTGCCTCGCCTGTCTTGCGCTCCCACCCTATGTTGCTTCGTTCCCACGCGTCTCGTCCTCCCCTTCTCCCGTCGCCTCCTCCGTCCTCCCTTGTTGTTGCGCCCCCCCCGCTGTCCGACTACCTTCGTGCCGCTCGTCCTCTCGTTCCTCGGGTCCTTGCCTCTCTCGTTACCGACCCGTCTGTTCCGGTCTCGTGCCTTGCCGCTCTTGTCGCTGCTGTCGCTGACTTCGCCTCTCCCCGCCGCCTTGACTACGCCACCGCTCTGGTCTCTGACCCTGCCTGTCCTCCGTCTGTCGGGGGTGCTCCTGCCCTTGGCAGTGACGTCCTGGAGGACCGCCAGTTCGAGCTTGCTTTCCTCTCCGAGGCTGCTCCCCATCTCTGTTCCATGCTGCTAGTCCCTGAGGGTGACCCAGACGCTTTTGACATCCCGACCCCTCGCACTTACGCTGAGGCGACTTCGGGACCCTGGGCCTCGCAGTGGATAGCTGCCATGGAGCAGGAGATGGCATCTTGGAGATCCACCGGCACCTTCGTCGACGCAGTTCCCCCACCTGGGGTGAACGTAGTCGATGGCCGCTGGCTCTTCAAGGTGAAGCGCCCTCCTGGAGAGCCGCCTGTCTTCAAGGCGCGCTATGTGGCTAGAGGCTTCAGTCAGCGCGACGGGGTGGACTTCTTCCAGACTTTCGCTCCGACCCCGAAGATGACTACTCTTCGGGTTCTGTTACACCTAGCTGCTCAGCGTGACTACGAGCTTCACTCCCTCGACTTCTCCACTGCCTTCCTTCAGGGCAGCCTACACGAGCAGGTCTACCTGCGTCGCCCTCCGGGCTTTACTGGCACCTTCCCTCCTGGGACCCAGTGGCTCCTGCGGCGCCCCGTCTACGGCCTGCGCCAGGCTCCCCGTGAGTGGCACGACACTCTCCGTGCTACCCTTGCTGACCTGCAGTTCTTTCCGTCTTCCGCAGACCCTTCACTCTTCGTTCGTGCTGGCCAGACTCCGTTCTACATCCTTGTTTACGTTGACGACCTGGTCTTTGCCACGGCAGACAGGGACGCACTGGCCTCCGTGAAGGCAGAGTTGCTGAAGAGACACACCTGCACTGACCTTGGAGAACTGCGCCGTTACCTTGGCTTGCAGATCTCCAGGGACAGAGCTGCGCGCACCATCACCCTGACTCAGTCACACTTGGTGCGCCAGGTCCTTCAGAGGTTCAGCCTTCAGTTCTCCTCTGCACAGCCCACCCCTCTGCCTGTAGACCACAGACTCTCCGCTCCAGTACCTGAGGAGTTGGTAGAGCCCAGCGGCCCCTACGTAGAGCTGGTGGGTTGCCTCATGTACCTGATGACTTGCACTCGCCCAGATCTCGCATACCCTCTCAGCATCCTGGCGCGCTTTGTGGCCACAGGCAGACACCGACCGCAGCACTGGTCTGCCGCTAAGAGGGTTCTGCGTTATCTTGCTAGTACATCGGGCATGGGGTTAGTGCTTGGAGGACGCAGGCCAGTGGTCCTTACTGGACACACAGACGCTTCGTGGGCAGACGACGCTGAGACACTCAGGTCTACCCAGGGCTACTGCTTCAGCCTTGGCTCAGGTGCCGTCTCGTGGAGAGCTACTCGCTCCTCGTCTGTTGCACAGTCCAGCTGTGAGGCTGAGATCTACGCTGTTGCCATGGCGGCACAGGAGCTCCGCTGGCTGACCTTCTTGCTCACTGACTTAGGTGAGCGGCCTAGCTCTGCCCCGGTCCTGTTCGCTGACAACAGGGCCATGATCCTCCTGTGTCAGGAGCCTCGACTCGAGGGCAGAGCGAAGCACATTCAGCTGCGGTACTTCCTCCTGCGTGAGCTACAGCAGCGACGTCAGGCTCGCGTAGTACACTTGGCCTCAGGTGCCAACACAGCTGATATCTTTACGAAGGCGCTTGCGCCTAAAGATCATCAGCGGCACTGTGTACAGCTTGGTCTAGTTCCTGTCGCTTCTCACTTGCTAGGATCTTGACTTGTACTGTCCTTTATATGTATACTCAGACTGGACTTGTGTCCTCTCCCAGTGGCTGGACTAGTAGTGCCGCCCTGGTCTTGTTCTTGCCTTGTCTGTACTCCTTCTGACTGGTCTCTCAGACCCTTGTCTCAGAGGTTGGACTAGTAGTGCCGCCCTGAGCTGCTTGTTTAGGGTATTCCCCTATGCAGTCTAGGGGGTGTGTCAAACATCTGTATTTGTCATGTTTGTATAGACTGTATAGGGTTACCTCTTAGAGGGTACAACACTTAGGTATATTTGTGTGTACTCTCACTTTACCATTATTAACAATACCAATTTTGATAGGCAGGTGCATGGCGTGATGGGGCAGACATTCCGCAGCGGCAGGGAGAGGAGAACCATGGAGTATTCGAGGCTCTCTGCCCTGCTGCACCACCCAGTGTCGGTGGACGGGGAGGAGGGGAGGGGGTTTCTGGATGGGGAGGCGGGTGACTATGAGACGACTGGAGTTACGGCTGCTGACTGCAAGTTTACTGCTTTCAATGGCGGGAAGCTGCCCTGCTGGCAGAGTAGAAAGGAGGCATGAGCATATGGTTGTATGGTATCGGTACCAAGTTGGACAGAAGTGGTGGCAGGCAGCTAGTAGCGGCAAGTTTGGCTGATGGCCATCGAATCCTTCTCCACATCACAGCATCTTCGCAACGCAGGTGCATTCCAGCAGGCCTTCTTCACATTCCGATTTGGCTTGCTGTTGTCATCTTGTAGAGGATTTTGTTGATTTCCGTTTGTGCTTCGTTGTAACACTGTAGTACGGTAAGTACATCTGTCCACCAATAGTAAATACAAGCTGCGAAATCAGCATCTTATGAGGTCGCAAGAGGTAACACATGCAACCATGAGATACTGAGGTGAAATTCTTGCAGGTCAAAGTTGATAACAGTATGGCATCACGCAGACAGGATGATATGCGCTTGTTATGCGCCTACCGTAGTTCTAAATAATTAGCGGACTGATTGATTATCCTTGAGGTGATGAACAGTCATAAATCTGTACACTCGATGTACGTCACCATAAAGATCTTCTAAAACAGCATGTCCATCATGCAACAGCAGCAGAGGCAAGCCAACCTGCACAAGACAGCGGAAACGAGGAATAGGGACATAAATTACATTGCTCTTCGTGAACGATCACGGCCTGTAATACACAAGGTCAGCGAAAACAAACAGGAGAAAAAACACTTACAGAGCGGCGCAGCAATCAGCGTCGTTGTCTCGCTTCTGCACGATGACTGTCTGATGTTGCGGAGGAGGTGGGTGTCCCGGATAACCAGGTTGCGGAGGATATCCCTGAGGCGGATATCCAGGTTGTGGGGGGTAACCCTGGGGAGGATAGCCCTGAGGAGGGTAGCCCTGGGGAGGATAACCCTGAGGAGGATAGCCCTGAGGCGGAGGAGGATATCCCTGAGGAGGAGGCGGGTATCCTTGAGGAGGCGGAGGATAACCACCAGGCGGTGGTGGATAGCCTGAAAATCGATTACAGAACGAAGAGGTCAGCACCAGGATTCTATATAAAATGAAAAGCTAATGGTAATGACCAATCGTCATCACCGATTTCTAGCAGCTACCTCACCTTGAGCGGGAGGTGCGCCAACTGGTGGAGCTTTATCAGCCATGTCTGCTAAAGGCTCTAACAAAATTACCAAAGATCAAGAGCTTCTAATCGCGGTCTGCTTGTGAGGGTCTCATACAAAGAAGGGCGTGGGAGTGGAATGAGAACAGGCGACTATCCTAGAGAATCAAATGGATCAGCTGGCAATCACAGGAAAAAACTGGCGTCTTCCTGAGTGAGGATTCAGTTCATTCTTGAAACTGCCGATGGGGGGGAAGAAGTTGTGGAGGGCTGCCTGGCGTTTCGCTCAACGGCACAGTCGCGAGTGCTTATAATGAGGGTTTGGGTGGGGTGTGACGAGTGGGGTCTGTGCAGTGACGTGCCTGCATTGCAGATGTCCCCGTCGCCAGGAAGGTGTTTCCAATGGTGCTGTACCTGGGGAGGAAAAAAGGGGGGGTATCAGCAAATGGGGCAACGCGATGCGAGCAGAGCATCCTTGTTGGTGCCAGCCCAGCTCGGTTACCCGTTAAAGGGATTCACTGTATTTGCGTAAGCTTGAAAATTTACCCGTTTCCAGGAAACGATATGCTGGTTGCTTTCACGAAGTGTAGTCGCTGTAGCGAAATGTGCAAATATGAGCTTTCAACTCCCTTGTGACTTCAATCATTCATTTTGGAACCAATCCAATAACCGCACTCCATATAGTGTCAACTGCAATTTACAGTTTGTATCAAAAACTTATGATCCTATGAGTACTGTAGGTAATAGCAAGAAACCTTTACTCACTCGATATTGAAATGAAGGCTTGCCATGCTCACGACCTTGGGTTCATAAGGTTGCATGGAAGATGCTTATGAGCGAGCAACAAACAGTAACAAATGTCCTTGCGCAACTACCTAAATAAGACTGCAGCGACAAATGTTAGTTGAAAGGACGAGCTACCTATCTACCAACTAGTCACCTCAAGCCCTGTACTCAAAACACAAGGAAGTCAATTCATCCGATGCACTACTGGCCTTGCAGGGAAATGACCCGCATCAGTTTGCCCTTGCCCTGCTGCCCAGACTGGTTTGCAAACCGCCCACTGATCTGCCCGTGAAGCTCACTGCGCTGCCGAGCCAGAGCCGCTCTCCGAGCCTGAAGGGTCTCAAACACAGCCTGCACGTTGGGCAACGGGAGTAAGAGGGAGGGGGTGGTTGTGAGTGTACGCGGGGCAATAGAGATGGGGAGAAGCTCCTGTCTGTCGCATGCATCTCCTTAGCACTAAGATCCTCTCCCTACACCTTAACCCCCCCCCCACCCACCCCCCCACCCCCCCCACTCCCTGCATCGCCTCCCTCTCCCTGAGAATCCTGATCCAGGGGGTCAAACACCTCGATCACCTCTGGCTCCTAGCACTATCTGGTACCATCCATCCACTGTAACTCACCAGCATCCTGCACACCCTCCCCCTCCCCACCCTCCCCCCAACCCCCGCCCGCCCCCAACTTCCCCCTCCTCATCTGCATTCTCTCACCTTGAACTCCTGCTCCAGCGGGTCGAACACACCTTGGCCACCTTGGCCTCTGCTTTCAACACACGCCTACTGGCACATACCCCACACATCCCACTCATTCCACCCCTACCGGCACTGCACACCCCCCCTCCTCACCTGCATCCTCTCCTTGAACTCCTGCTCCAGCGGGTCGAACACCTCGGCCACCTTGGCCTCTGCTGAGAAGGCCTGCGGCAGCAACTCGGCGAAGCGGCGGAGTGTGCCTGCCTCCTCCTGATGTAAGGGGGGGGAGGAGGAGCGTGAGAGTGGGGAAGAGGCTGGTAAGAAAGGGCGACAGACAGGCACGACCTACAGCAGCAACTCAGCAAAGCGCAGCAGCATGCCCGCCTCCTCCTGGTCAGGGGAAGAGGGGGAGATGAGAGGGAGAGAGTGAGTGAGGGGGTTGAAGAGGTTGGTGAGAAAGGGCGAGACTCGTAATGGGGGAAATTGACTGAGGAAAGGATGTAGGGGGGAGAGAGTGAGTGAGAATCATTCTTCTACCTCTCGTGCTTGTGCCTCATAGTTTAGCTCGTATATCATGCAATATTACAATAATATTAATACTAACATCGACTTATTCTCACCTTGACCTTGGCTGCCAACTGCTGCATCATCTCCGGAGTGGGCTCGCTCTCAAAGTCAGTCACTGCCAGCAGAATCTGCAGCCGCCGCTATCCGGGGAAGAAGGGAGCAAGAGAGGAAGGAACGGGGGCAGCAAGAGAGGGCAAGGGGGAGAAAAGGTGGGGAGAAGGGGGAGAAAAGGTGGGGAGAAGGGGGGAAGGGGGAAGGGGGAGAAGGGGGAGAAGGGGGGAAGGGGGAGAAGGGGGAGAAGGGGGAGAAGGGGGAAAAGGGGGAAAGGGGAGAAGGGGAGAGGGGAGAAGGGGGAGAAGGGGGAGAAGGGGGAGAAGGGGGAGAAGGGGGAGAAGGGGGAGAAGGGGGAGAAGGGGGAGAAGGGGGAGAAGGGGGAGAAGGGGGAGAAGGGGGAGAAGGGGGAGAAGGGGGAGAAGGGGGAGAAGGGGAGAAGGGGGAGAAGGGGGAGAAGGGGGAGAAAGGGGAGAAGGGGGAGAAGGGGGAGAAGGGGGAGAAGGGGGAGAAGGGGGAGAAGGGGGAGAAGGGGGAGAAGGGGGAGAAGGGGGAGAAGGGGGAGAAGGGGGAGAAGGGGGAGAAGTGGGAGAAGGGGGAGAAGGGGGGGAAACGAATGGAGGGCGCATCTTTTGGACCATGCGAAAGGCGGGGTGAGAAGCCCGGGAAGCTAGGGTGATGTTGAGTAAAATGTGCAGAGCAACCAAAGCAGCATTGATGGGTGGTATGGTATCGTCATGGCATGGGGGGGTACGGACCTTCTGAATGGAGGTGGCAGCAGCGGCGACTATCTCATGGGCATCTCCCAGCACCGTGTGCAGCGCGTCCTTGGCTGCTGACGCTATCTGCTTCACGTGGGACGCCTGGAGGTGGTAGGAGACACATGCACAGGCACGCGTGCAGACAACGCAATGCTTTGGACTCGACTCAAAAGGAGACCCATTTCATATGGATAATATGCGAGACACATTCACACGTGTCATCACGCACCTGGGCGACATGGCACCCGCGGTAGAACCCCATCTGTCTCCTCCTGCAGCCGTGCCATCTCTCCTTGTGGGAAGGCCGCATCTAGCACCCACTCAAACTCCAGACAGCTCATCATGTCATGGCATTGTGCAACACATCTGAGCAGCATGCCACAGCAGCCCACATCACCCACACCCACACACAAACTCACCCCCCCCCACACACACACACACCCACACCCACACACACCAGCGCAGCATGGCACATCCATCATCAGCTCACACACCCACCCACCTGGGCAGCATGGCATGTCATCATCACATCACACACCTGGGCAGCATGGCAGCCGCGGTAGAACCCCATCTCCTCTTGCAGCCCCGACATCTCCGCCCGCCACAGCGCTTCCACCTTGCGGCACCGCCCCACCACCTCCAGCACCTGCGCCTGCACCTCCCCATTCCGCGCCCCCTCCCCCCCATACTCTCCCCCCATTCCCCCCACTCCTCCCCCCACTCCCATAAGCCCAGCCAGGCCGGTAGTCAGCAGCTGCTCCACAGAGGGTAGGTCCGCCACACTCACTCCCTCCCTCCTCCTCCTCTCCCTCTCCCACTCCAGCCTCTGCTGCACTTCCATCATCTCCCCCCCTCCTCCCGCTCCCCCCTCCTCCCCTCCTGCCGCCCGGGCGGCTGCTGCTGCCAGCATCAGGCTCTCCCCCGTCCCCACGCCGAACAGCTGCGCACCAGCTGGCACGAGCGCCGCCAGCTCGGACAGCGCGCGCGTGGTGTCGTACACGTCAGCGATGGCAACTCGGATCTCCTGAAGCACTGCGGAGGAGGTCTGGGGTAGGGGGGGAAGGGGGGGGAAGGGGGGAGGAAGGGGGGAAGAAAGGGGGAGGAGAGGGGGGGGTGGGTGGGGGGGAGGGAGAAGGAAAAGTAATAAGGCAAGTATTAAGGCAGCCCAGCATCTCATTTGGAGTTACGTATACATGCGACAACAGTGATAAAAAAAACTGTATATATGCGGCTGAAACACTGTACTGAGGAAATGATAAGCGTGTAGATTGATCTCACCTCGGCGGGGAGGCTGGGGAAGACGACATGATCGAGGAGCGACGAGAGCGCGAGTAGGCGCGGATGCAGGTCCGCCAGCCGCCCCTCCAGCTCGTGCACGCGCGCATACTCCAGCAGCGGCGCGGACCCTGGAGGGAAAGCGGGAAACGGGGAGCGGGGAACAGGGGAAGAGAAGATGGGGAAGAGGGCGACAGATAAAACTCCAGCAACAGCGCGGACCCATGGGAATCAGGGTCGCGGGAAGGGAGGCGGGGGAAGAAAAGACTGGGGAGGGTTTTTGAGGCGCCTCAAAAATCGTCTCATTTCACCCACTGCTGTGTTGGCGAATGCCCATTGATAGGCAATCTGGGTAGTTGATAATCTTAAGACCGGGGAGGGAGAGCCAGGGAGGGAGGAAGAGAGGAAGGAAAGAAAAGAAAGGCGCGGATGAGGGTCCGCCAGGCGCCCCTCCTGCTTGTGCACGCGCGCATACTCCAGCAGCGGCGGGCTCTGGAGGGAGGCGGCGTCGCGGCAAGGGGCAACGGGGAAAGAGAATGTGGGGGAGGGCAGAGAGAAAGCGCGGTTGTGGGGGAGGAGACGCGCAGGAGATAGGGAGAGAGAATAGGAGGGCCATCCTTTGATTCTCGAAGCACGGTGCCAAATGAGGAAGGAAGGTGGGGTGGGGTGGGGTGGGGTGGGGTGTGGGGAGGCAGCGCACCTTCGATGGAGCGGCAGATGTTCGCCACGATCCCCGCGACCGGGTCGCCGTCTTCGTTCGTCGCCATGAGCCGGTTCCCCGCGCACGGGCGTATTGGCGAGTCGGCTCAAAACACAGTGAGGGGGGAGGGAGGCATCTCACCTTCGACGGAGCGGCATATGTTCGCCGCGATGCCCGCCACGGGGTCGCCGTCTTCGTTCGTCGCCATGAATCGGTTCCCCGCGCACGGCAGCTCGGGCGCGCCCATCGCCTTCATGCTCGTCTTCTCCGCTCCGCCCTCCGCTCCGCCCGCTCCTTCCGCATCCTCCGCCTTCCCCGCGCCTTCCTCCGCGGGCAGCTCGCCGACCTTTCCGCCCGGCGCGGGCAGCAGCATCAAAACTTTCTCGCGCGCCTCCTTGCTCCACGAGGCGAGCTCCTCGAGCTTCTCCTTCGCGATCGCCACCTGTCCGGCCGCCGCCAGCATGCTGCCAAGTGTCGGCACGGGAGTGGCCGGCGCGGCCGGCGTGGCGAAGGGGCTCCCCGCGGGGGTGTTCCCAGCGCGCGGTGTGCCCATAGGCGTGGAGACGGCAGACGATGTGATAATAGAGGGGTCTAGCACGAGCGGCCCGTCTTTCAGGCTCGCGCTGCGGCTTCCAGCAGACGTCAACTCCATGCCGCCGTCCCCGTCATTCGCGGCGGCAGGCGCGGCAGTCTTTTTGTCGGCATTCTTATTGTTAACACCCGCGCCGTTCCGCTTCCCCGGGCCAACTCCCCACCCGCGCGCACCAAAACTTCCGCCGCCGGTTTTCCCCTTCCCCGCGCTGCCCGCCGCGGCGCCACCCCGACGTGCGCCTGCCGTGGGCGACGCGCTCCCCTTCCCCGCGGTGGCCGTTGCCCGTGGGGTCGTGCCACGTGGCGAGCCGCTGGCGAACGACGAGGTGCCGCGGCCGCCGGGGGTGCTGGGGCGGGAGGCGGAGGAAGCGGCGGCGGAAAGCGGAGCGGAGCCGCGTCCTCCGAAGGAGTTCCGCCGCGTCAGCGGCTGCTGCGCCGCGCCGACCTTGCTCACCCCCTTCGCCACCGCCGCTGCCGCTGCACCGGCGCTCGCCTTCTCGTCCACGCTCGCCGCTTCCTGCGCCGCGGGCTGCGCGTCGTCCAATGAGAGCGCGGCAGCTGGCAGCAGAGACTGGTCCAGAGTTCCCGCCTGCGCGTTCTCCATCTCCGCTCCCCCCCCTTCCGCCCCTTCCGCCAACTCCCCTTCCGCCTCTTCCTCCCCCGCGTGCACGTGCAGGGTCTCGACGGTGCGGTGCAGATGGTCCATGGCGCTCAGCAGCTCGTTGCGGATCGCCTTGGCGGTCAGGGAAGAGGACTCAGAGGCGAGGAGCTGGAGGGAAGGGGTGGGGGAGGGGATGGGGAGGGGGGAAGGGAGAATGGGGAGTTAAGAAACGGTGTGGTGCAGCTTGTCAATGGCGCTCAGCAGCTCGCTGCGGATCGCCTTGGCGGTCAACGAGGAGGACTCAGAGGCGAGCAGCTGGGGGGGGGTGGGGAGGGGGGAAAGGGGAAGGGGGAAGGGAGAAGGGAGAAGGAAAAATGGGGAAGGGGGAAGGGGGAAGGGGAAATGGGGAAGGGGGAGTTGGGGAACGGTGCGGCGCAGATGGTCCATGGCGCACACGAGACGCAGGAACCAGCAATGCTGCTGCGACGGGAATGCGCCAAGTGTAGGAAGCCGTTATGAACAAGAAACAAAACAGTGGATTGTGTTGTGTACGCGGTATAAGCGCTGCGCTGTAAGCGACAAAAGCGATCAAAGCGATGTGAGCGGTACAAGCGCTCACCTGGTGCTCGAGCTGCAGGTTGGACGATTTGAGCATTCGCACGCGATGGCGCGCCAAGTCGTCGCCGTCGTCCGCCTCCTGCGACACATGCGACGAGGCGAGGCGAGATTATGATGAAGGGCAAGGTGAGAGGGAGAGGGGGAAGAGGTAAGTGACAGGCGCGCCGAGTCGTCATCCGCCGTCCTCCCCCTACAGACATAAATGCACACCCCCCTCCTTCCACCTTTTGAGTCGACTCAAAACGAAACTCATATCGCACGATCTCAAAAGTCAACCACTCTCCTCACTAACGCAAAAGGTAAGTTCTAAGGCGCGTCGAAACTAAACAATTTTCAGCTCATATGGCATAACTCCTTGCCTCCTCACACGCCCTTCCTCCCCGTCACTCGCACCCTTCCACTGGCAGGTCCCATCGTCCGCCTATTCGTTCCCCTCCCCCTTCCCCCTCCCCCTACCCCTCTCCCTCCCCCTCCCCCTCCCCCTCCCCCTCTCCATTCCCATCTCCCTTCCCCTCCCCCTCTCCCTTCCCCTCCCCCTCTCCCTTCCCCTCCCCCTCTCCCTTCCCCTTCCCCTCTCCCTTCCCCTCCCCCTCTCCCTTCACCCCACCCCGTCACCCCCAACGCACCTCCGCGTGGACGGCTTCCAGCATCGCGATCCTCTCCCTCAGCCGTCGATTCTCCTCCTGCAGCTGCTTCGTCTGCACGCACGCGCCGTTGGATGGACAGGCACGAGGTCGGCGGGTGAGCCAGGGAGGAAGGGGGGCGACACCAATGCGGCAAGAAACGTGGCAGGAATACCAAAGGCTGGGGGGCGCCTTGCTGTTTGCACGAAATGACAGACAAAGGCTTGGGGCAGAAGAGAAATGGCAGAAAAATGGCAGAGAAAACTTCAAAGAAGCCTTCTCTATGCCGTGGTTGCGTTGCGGCGGTACAGGTTGAGAAAGCTTCGAGCTCAACTCACCACTTCTGACTGCTTCTGCGAAGGTTCGGCAGGTTCCAGAGAGGAAGGAGGTTCGGCGTTGCCACGGGAATCAGGTTCGGTAGGGTCGAGGCCACACAGGGGGAGAGCATAGGTAAAGATCATCAAGTGGGTAAGTTGAGAGTTCAAGGTAAGGTGAATAGCAGAGGGACGAAGCGAAACGCACGGGGCGGTATAAGTCATCACGAGAGGCGACGAGTCGAGTGAATGGGCGACAATTACGCGATCCCGTTCGCGCACAGCACGCTTACCTCTGAGCCGTACGATCCCATGAAGGGTTGCAGCACGATGGGAATCGACGGCTGCTCGTTGGGCTTGGTTAATTCGTCGTCCTGCCAGCACAGCGGAGAGGGGAACAGAAACGGACAGAGGGGCACAGAGGCGCACACTCATTATAGCCACATAGAAGCGAAGATACACAAAAAAATCATGGAGACGCCTTAAAAGGGGAGAAATAAGGAGAGGGGTGCGGGGTGCGGGAAACAGACGGAGAGTGGTAAAAGGAGAGTGGTGCACCAGAAGGGTAGTTGGGGGACGTGCGGGATATTGAAACGAGTCGGTTAGCAGACTAACTAGAGGAGGCCGCGGAAAGGGATAGAAGCGGAGGTTTTGAGAATCGACCACTGTCGGTTGACAATGGCACCATCTCTCTGGGCTGCGCTGGCTCATTGAGACTTCTCAAAAACAGAACACATCCTGTGCTGGCTAATCAAAGGGTGGATGACTCGACGCCCACCATCGACAAGCTACTCTGCGCTACGCCCCCGTCTCATGTGTCCTCCCCTCTGTCCTCTGTCCTCTGTCCTCCCCTCTGTCCTCTCTCCTCCTCATGGAGCTATGCGGCCTTCCTACCGGCGCGCTCCCTCCTATTTCCCTCCCTTTTTGGTGCTGGTCTAAACTCGATTGCGAAGCCACCTGAATTGGCGCCACGGCGGACTTGGACTTTCCCTGCGCCCCGCCCTTTCCGCCCAGCGTCCTTCCGACACGTGCTGCCGCGCGCCCGAGGGTCGATGCGACAGACGACCCCTTGCCTTTCTTCACGCCTCCGCCCATAGATAGCGAACGACGCCCCTTCCCCCCGGCGGACTTGTCGTCTTCGCCAGCCTTCGCGAACGCGAGCGACGGGTTACTCGGGTGCGTGGCGCCGAGGTGCGAGTACCGTCGGATGATGTTGCTGTAATCGGACGGCTTGAAATCTTCCGGCGCGCCGAAGTGCGCGGAGGCGTGGACGGCATCGTGGAAGTCCTCCTCGTCTGCAGGCATGGGCTGGCTGCCCGCCATGGCTACTCGCTTATGATGTTTTTGGAGACGTCTAGAAACACGGACGGTGGGCAGTCTACTATGGCGTGATGGGTTAGATCGACTTTCTAAATGGGGGAAACAATACTAGGACGGAATGTGTGCTTCGCGTGCACAGAGCCAGAAGTTGTGCTTAAGCAATTAATAATAAGGTTTAGGCAGTCCTACCTTCTTGACTTCGTCGCAGCCTAAGGTCGTGCGGTAAGAGGCCACAGGAAGAAATCAAGTTCACGGTTGCTAAGTTAGCTCAACCCCTCAATAATTTCCTGCAAGCTGGATGATCGCAACCTCAAGGTGGATCGACGGAAGTCGCACAAAGCAAAGCAACGGATATTTGCGAAGAAACGGCGGTTGCAGAAGAAGGCTGGCCTAATTTGCGAGGGGAAGCTCGGCACAGCATGTGGGGCCTAATTCATTCTCAACGGTGGAGTACGCTATTGAGGGATACTAGTACACGCTATTTGACTGAAATGACCGTCTCCTCTCCATCCAAATGCACGATTTCTCGCAGCTGCGATTCCAAATCCACCGCACGATCGCCCAGCCCTCGCGACTTGTCAGTCGCAATTTTGGAATGCGCGCCGCGACGTGATTTCCTTCGAACGTGTCGCGCCCTTGATGGTGAGCGCGCGATACTGGTTTTGTCAGCCGAACCGCACAGCTTTGGAACCAGTATGGAGTGCGGGACTACCCAAGGTGCTGTTGCTCGTGCATCAATCCCATCCCACGCGGCCTCCACTGGTCAAACGACCAGAAACATGAAATCCTCACTACGAGCATATGCGTTTCCCGCCATGACGTCTGTCAGACACCATTAACCAACCTTCATCTACAGAGATTTCTCAACCTCTCATCCCAATGTGGAATTGACAATGACATAATTCAGGCACTATGGAGAGAGGCATACACGGTTCAAACTGGTTAGAGGTGTTATATCATGTTACACCACATTCTGAAAGCCACGGATCGTCAAAGCTTACATACTTCGTCCAAAGGCTACGATAATTCGGTAAAGCAATCTTCAGCCATGGCTTCTGGTTACCATTCCAGTGTATAACCGCGGCCTTAGAGATGGCATTCATGTCCAGATGTGGGTTGTAACCGAGCCCCAGGACGTGCCATGACGGATCGATGGCATGTGTAAGCCCGTTGAATGCCAGTAAGCCTGGCGGTAATGTCCCCAGCTTCCATAATGAATGATCAACATTCTGCAATGAGACGAAGAAACGTAGAAAACGGGGGCCAAAACATAACACCTGAAGGCGTAGGCAGCAGACAAAAGCAAACGTATGGTACAAACCACACCACCCATTCTCTTTTCTCAGTGCCGCCAGTCAAAACTCAAAACTTCAACTGCCCAACTTCCCACTCACCTGCTCTTGCCGTATGTGCCCGTCACATTGGCCCCTCTCCAGCCAACCAGGTCAAACAGGTTCATGCCATACGCCTCAGAAGCTACGTTACAGCACAACTCTAGCCAGCTCCCCCCCTTCCCCCCTACTCACCTGCTCTTGCCAGTAGTGGTACGTGCCCGTCACATTGGCCCGCTGCCAGCCATCCAGGTCAAACAGGTTCATGCCATACGCCCACGCACACCCTCGGGGTCGAAGCGCCCTCTCAGCCGTGTGTCGGTGAAGTTGAGGTAGCGGTGGAAGCGGTGGAACGACCCCTTGCACGTCTCTAGTGCACCGTTCACGGCCCTGTTGGGTGATGGGGGTTCAGAGAGGTACAGCAAGAGTCAGAACGGTAGTAAGGTAAAACAACTTAGCCGCGTGACCGTAAAGTTGAGGTGGCGGCGGAAGCGGTGGAACGACCCCTTGCACGTCTCCACTGCGCCGTTCACGGCTCCGATGGGGGAAACAGGGGGGGGGTCAAGAGGGTAAGGGAAGAACAGTGTGAGGGTTAGGCCCTTGAGCCGTGGGCTGGTGAAGTTGAGGTAGCGGTGAAAGTGGTAGAAGGACCCTTTGCTTGCCTCCACTGCTCCATTGACAGCCTTTATGGGGGAAATAGGGGGGGCCAAGAGGGTAAGGGAAGAACGTTGGTTAAGTCAGACACTTGAGCCGGGTATAGGTGAAGTTGGGGTAATGGAGGAACCTGAGGAGTGCCAAACGCAGGCAAGTACCCAGTTAGGGGTGTCAAGAGCAAGAGCTGGAACGTGACTATTTGTGTCCAGAGTGAAGAGGGCGGAGAGGTGTTTTTTGCACGATGACGTCATGGACGAGGAAGGAGGATGCGGTGCAGCGCAGGGAAAGAGAGAGGGAAAAAGAGGAGGAGATGCAGAGCAGCACAAGAAGGAGAGGAACATGCCCGTCTATGCCTAGCACGGAAGGGCAGAGAGGTATTTCTGCACGATGACGTCATTGATGAGGAAAGAAAGAGGATGCGGAGCAGCGAGGGGACGGAGAGAGGGGAATGTCAGCACAGAGCAAAAGAAACACACCTGAGCATGCCCAGAGAGAGAGAAGGGCGCGGCGCAGCAGCGCGCGGAAGAGCGAAGGGAATGCGCAGCACAATGGTGCAGGGAGGAGCGCCGGAAAGGAAGGGACATACCTGTTCATGTCCAGAGAATTTTCAGACTTCTCGAGAATCTCTCACAGGGACATACCCGTTCATGTCCAGAGATTTTTCAGACTTCTCGAGAATCTCTCACAGGGACATACCCGTTCATGTCCAGAGATTTTTCAGACTTCTCGAAAATCTCTCACAAGGGCATACCCGTTCATGTCCAGAGAGAAGAGGGCGGAGAGGTCCTTCTGCACAATGACATCGTCGTCGAGGAAGAGCATGCGGTGCAGGGAAGGGAAGAGCTGGGGGAGGTAGAACCGCAGGTGGTTGAGCAGCGCCATGTACTTGGGGTTGTGGAACTTGATGGGTTCCCGGCCCTCCACCTGATTGGGGGTGTGTGTACAGGGGCGGTTGACGGGGTCTGGCACGAGGGAAACACGGTAGATGGTTGAGCAGAGCCACGCACTACAGGTTGTGGAACTTGATGGGCTCCCGCCCCTCCACCTGGCTTGGGATGTGTGTGCAGGCGTGGTTGACAGGGTGTGGCTATGGGTCACCGATGCAGCACGATGTGACGTGGCAAGGGGGAACATTTTGAGTCGACTCAACAGTCACCCACCGATGCAGCAAGATGCAGCACCTACTGATGCAGCATGATGCAGCACCTACCGATGCAGCACGATGCAGCACCTACCGATGCAGCACGATGTGACGTGGCACGGGGGAACACCTTTCGTGATTCATCAACCAGTCCTACTCCTTACCAGTCCCCCTATGACCTTCCCTGTACTCGCAACAACAGCAGCAGCAGCAGCAGAGAAGTAGAAGCCAGCCTCCTGTATTTGCTGTAGCACCCTCAACTGCCCCAATCCCAAAGACACCCCATCACGCAAGAACATAGCCCTCCCCGCCTTGACTCACAGAAGAGACCCTCCCTGCCTTGACTCACAGCAGAGACCTCCCTGCCTTGACTCACAGCAGAGGCAGCGGAGAAGTAGAGGCTCTTGGCCCCAGCCTCCTGCATCTGCCGCAGCACCCCCAACACCCTCTCAACACCTCTTCCACAACCCCTTCCAACGCCACTCAACCCCCCCTCTCCCACATTCCACTCACGGCAGCAGCAGCAGAGAAGTAGAAGCTCTTGGCACCGGCCTCCTGCATCTGCCGCAGCACGGGCGCATAGGACGCATTGAGCCACCCGCTCTCGCCCTCCACCCGCCGCACCTCCAGCGAGGCCAAACCTGGAGGGTGGCGGGAGAACCACACCTGCGAGTGGAGGAGGAGGGGGGGGAGGAGGAGAGGGGGAGGAGAGGAAGGGGGGAGAGGAGGGGGGGGGGAGGAGGAGAGGAGGGGGAGAGGAAGGGGGGAGAGGAGGGGAGAGGAGGGGGAGGGGAGGGGGAGAGGAGGGGGAGAGGAGGGGGAGAGGAGGGGGAGAGGAGGGGGAGAGGAGGGGGAGAGGAGGGGGAGAGGAGGGGGAGAGGAGAGGGAGAGGAGGGGGAGGGGGAGGGGGAGGGGGAGGGGGAGGGGGAGGAAACTTTGAGTTGATTCAGAAGGGAAGAAAAACCCCTGGGATGACTCCTGCTCCCCAGGGATGGCTCAAGAAGCACAGCTTGGAAGGGGAGCGGGGGAGTGAGAGTGCGGGGTGAGAAAGGTGGGTGGGATGGGAAAAACCGGCATGACTATAACTCAAGCAGGCGAGCATTGCCCCCCTTCTGCGAAAGAACGGGCATGAGCATAACTCAGAAGGCATGCACATCCCATCACACGCACACACTGCAGAGGACCCGCAGGAGATATCACACCATATCAACCACACCAAAATGCATCACATCCCATCCCATCCCATCCCATCCCATGCACGCACCACGAAGGCGGGGAAGGAGGTGGCGTCGGTGATGACGTGGAAAACCAGCCGTGAGGGGTCACTGGAAGAGAGCACGTTGGAGTTGACAGCAGCGGACACGGCCAGAAGGTTGTCGCTGAACACACAGAGGTGCTGCAGCGAGGTGTCGACAAGGCGAGAGTTGTTGGGCGTGCGTGGAGGCTGGGAGAAGGACCAAGGAGACAAAGAGGAGAGCGGATCTCGTTATGGTGACAGCAGCACACACGGCCAGCACGTTGGCGCTGAATACACACAGGTGCAGTAGCCAGGTGTCTGTCAGGCGAGTGGCGTTGGGTGTGCGTGGTGCGTGTGTGTGTTGAGGGGGTGGGGATGGCACAGTGGAAACTAGGAGTTGACAGCAGCGGACACGGCCAGCACGTTGTCGCTCAACACACAGAGGTGCAGCAGCGAGGTGTCAACTAGGCGAGAGTTGTTGGGCGTGCCCCGAGGGCTGTGTGTGTGCATGGGAGAGAGAAGGGAGACAAGGGCGACGATAGGGGGCTGATAAGTTGACAGCAGCAGACACGGTCAGCACGAGGTCGCTTAAGGCACAGAGGTGGAGGAGCCAAGTGTCTTCCAGGCGAGCGTTGTTGGGGCCGGGCCTGGGGACTAGGTGGTGTGGGGGAGGAAGGACAGGGTGCGCGCACATGGAAGGAGGAAGGGGTGTGTGCTTAGGATCCTGCCTGGGGAATGCCCAAGCGTGGACCAGGGGAGTGGCTGCAATTTTGGAATGCGCGCCGCGACGTGATTTCCTTCGAACGTGTCGCGCCCTTGATGGTGAGCGCGCGATACTGGATTTGTCAGCCGAACCGCACAGCTTTGGAACCAGCCAAGCTAGCCGCGAAGTGCGGGACTTTCCAAGGGTGCTGTTGCTCGTGCATCAATCCCATCCCACGCGGCCTCCATTGGTCAAACGACCAGAAACATGAAATCCTCGCTACGAGCATGTGCGTTTCCCACCATGACGTCTATCAGACACCGTTAACCAACCTTCATCTACAGAGATTTCTTGACCTCTCATCCCAATGTGGAATTGACAATGACATAATTCAGGCACTATGGAGAGAGGCATACACGGTTCAAACTGGTTAGAGGTGTTATATCATGTTACACCACATTCTGAAAGCCACGGATCGTCAAAGCTTACATACTTCGTCCAAAGGCTACGATAATTCGGTAAAGCAATCTTCAGCCATGGCTCCTGGTTACCATTCCAGTGTATGGCCGCGGCCTTAGAGATGGCATTCATGTCCAGATGTGGGTTGTAACCGAGCCCCAGGACGTGCCATGACGGATCGATGGCATGTGTAAGCCCATTGAATGCCAGTAAGCCCGGCGGTAATGTCCCCAGCTTCCATAATGAATTATCAACATTCTGCAATGAGACGAAGAAACGTACAAAACGGGGGCCAAAACAATGTAACACCTGAAGGCGTAGGCAGCAGACAAAAGCAGACGTACACACCACACCACCCATTCTCTTTTCCCAGTGCCGCCAGTCAAAACTCAAAACTTCAACTGCCCATCCTCCCACTCACCTGCTCTTGCCAGTAGTGGTATGTGCCCGTCACATTGGCCCCTCTCCAGCCATCCAGGTCAAACAGGTTCATGCCATACGCCCACGCACACCCCTCGGGGTCGAAGCGCCCTCTCAGCCGCGTGTCGGTGAAGTTGAGGTAGCGGTGGAAGCGGTGGAACGACCCCTTGCACGTCTCCACTGCACCGTTCACGGCCCTGTTGGGTGATGGGGGTTCAGGGAGGTACAGCAAGAGTCAGAACGGTAGTAAGGTCAAACAATTTAGCTGCGTGTCCGTGAAGTTGAGGTGGCGGCGGAACTGGTGGAACGACCCCTTGCACGTCTCCACTGCGCCGTTCACGGCTCCGATGGGGGAAACAGGGGGGGGTCAAGAGGGTAAGGGAAGAACAGTGTGAGGGTTAGGCCCTTGAGCCGTGGGCTGATGAAGTTGAGGTAGCGGTGGAAGTGGTAGAAGGACCCTTTGCTTGCCTCCATTGCTCCATTGACAGCCTTTATGGGGGAAATAGGGGGGGCCAAGAGGGTAAGGGAAGAACGGTGGTTAAGTCAGACACTTGAGCCGGGTATAGGTGAAGTTGGGGTAATGGAGGAACCTGAGGAGTGCCAAACGCAGGCAAGTACCCAGTTAGGGGTGTCAAGAGCAAGAGCAGGAACGTGACTATTTGTGTCCAGAGTGAAGAGGGCGGAGAGGTATTTTTTGCACGATGACGTCATGGACGAGGAAGGAGGATGCGGTGCAGCGCAGGGAAAGAGAGAGGGAAAAAGAGGAGGAGATGCAGAGCAGCACAAGAAGGAGAGGAACATGCCCGTCTATGCCTAGCACGGAAGGGCAGAGAGGTATTTCTGCACGATGACGTCATTGATGAGGAAAGAAAGAGGATGCGGAGCAGCGAGGGGACGGAGAGAGGGGAATGTCAGCACAGAGCGAAAGAAACACACCTGAGCATGCCCAGAGAGAGAGAAGGGCGCGGCGCCGGAAGAGCGAAGGGAATGCGCAGCACAACAGTGCAGGGAGGAGCGCCAGAAAGGAAGGGACATACCCGTTCATGTCCAGAGAATTTTCAGACTTCTCGAGAATCTCTCACAGGGACATACCCGTTCATGTCCAGAGATTTTTCAGACTTCTCGAGAATCTCTCACAGGGACATACCCGTTCATGTCCAGAGATTTTTCAGACTTCTCGAGAATCTCTCACAGGGACATACCCGTTCATGTCCAGAGATTTTTCAGACTTCTCGAGAATCTCTCACAGGGACATACCCGTTCATGTCCAGAGATTTTTCAGACTTCTCGAGAATCTCTCAGAGGGACATACCCGTTCATGTCCAGAGATTTTTCAGACTTCTCGAAAATCTCTCACAGGGGCATACCCGTTCATGTCCAGAGAGAAGAGGGCACAGAGGTCCTTCTGCACAATGACATCGTCGTCGAGGAAGAGGATGCGGTGCAGGGAAGGGAAGAGCTGGGGGAGGTAGAACCGCAGGTGGTTGAGCAGCGCCATGTACTTGGGGTTGTGGAACTTGATGGGTTCCCGGCCCTCCACCTGATTGGGGGTGTGTGTACAGGGGCGGTTGACGGGGTCTGGCACGAGGGAAACACGGCAGATGGTTGAGCAGAGCCATGCACTACAGGTTGTGGAACTTGATGGGCTCCCGCCCCTCCACCTGGCTGGGGATGTGTGTGCAGGCGTGGTTGACAGGGTGTGGCTATGGGTCACCGATGCAGCACGATGTGACGTGGCAAGGGGGAACATTTTGAGTCGACTCAACAGTCACCCACCGATGCAGCACCTACCGATGCAGCATGATGCAGCACCTACCGATGCAGCACGATGCAGCACCTACCGATGCAGCACGATGTGACGTGGCACGGGGGGACACCTTTCGTGATTCATCAACCAGTCCTACTCCTCACCAGTCCCCCTATGACCTTCCCTGTACTCGCAACAACAGCAGCAGCAGCAGCAGCAGCAGCAGAGAAGTAGAAGCCAGCCTCCTGTATTTGTTGTAGCACCCTCAACTGCCCCAATCCCAAAGACACCCCATCACGCAAGAACAGAGCCCTCCCCGCCTTGACTCACAGAAGAGACCCTCCCTGCCTTGACTCACAGCAGAGACCTCCCTGCCTTGACTCACAGCAGAGGCAGCGGAGAAGTAGAGGCTCTTGGCCCCAGCCTCCTGCATCTGCCGCAGCACCCCCAACACCCTCTCAACACCTCTTCCACAACCCCTTCCAACGCCACTCAACCCCCCCTCTCCCACATTCCACTCACGGCAGCAGCAGCAGAGAAGTAGAAGCTCTTGGCGCCGGCCTCCTGCATCTGCCGCGGGCGCATAGGACGCATTGAGCCACCCGCTCTCGCCCTCCACCCGCCGCACCTCCAGCGAGGCCAAACCTGGAGGGTGGCGGGAGAACCACACCTGCGAGTGGAGGAGGAGGGGGGGGGAGGAGGAGAGGGGGAGGAGAGGAAGGGGGGAGAGGAGGGGGGGGAGGAGGAGAGGAGGGGAGAGGAAGGGGGGAGAGGAGGGGAGAGGAGGGGAGGGGAGGGGAGGGGGAGAGGAGGGGGAGAGGAGGGGGAGAGGAGGGGGAGAGGAGGGGAGAGGAGGGGGAGAGGAGGGGAGAGGAGGGGGAGAGGAGGGGGAGAGGAGAGGGAGAGGAGGGGGAGGGGGAGGGGGAGGGGAGGAAACTTTGAGTTGATTCAGAAGGGAAGAAAAACCCCTGGGATGACTCCTGCTCCCCAGGGATGGCTCAAGAAGCACAGCTTGGAAGGGGAGCGGGGGAGTGAGGGTGCGGGGTGAGAAAGGGGGGTGGGATGGGAAAAACCGGCATGACTATAACTCAAGCAGGCGAGCATTGCCCCCCTTCTGCGAAAGAACGGGCATGAGCATAACTCAGAAGGCATGCACATCCCATCACACGCACACACTGCAGAGGACCCGCAGGAGATATCACACCATATCAACCACACCAAAATGCATCACATCCCATCCCATCCCATCCCATCCCATCCCATCCCATGCACGCACCACGAAGGCGGGGAAGGAGGTGGCGTCGGTGATGACGTGGAAAACCAGCCGTGAGGGGTCACTGGAAGAGAGCACGGTGGAGTTGACAGCAGCGGACACGGCCAGAAGGTTGTCGCTGAACACACAGAGGTGCTGCAGCGAGGTGTCGACAAGGCGAGAGTTGTTGGGCGTGCCTGGAGGCTGGGAGAAGGACCAAGGAGACAAAGAGGAGAGCGGATCTCGTTATGGTGACAGCAGCACACACGGCCAGCACGTTGGCGCTGAATACACACAGGTGCAGTAGCCAGGTGTCTGTCAGGCGAGTGGCGTTGGGTGTGCGTGGTGCGTGTGTGTGTTGAGGGGGTGGGGATGGCACAGTGGAAACTAGGAGTTGACAGCAGCGGACACGGCCAGCACGTTGTCGCTCAACACACAGAGGTGCAGCAGCGAGGTGT